CACACACACACACACACACACACACACACACACACACACACACACACCACACACACACACAAAGTAGAGGCTTGAGAGATAAGATGGGTACAAAATAGCTGCTCTGCTGCCACCTGGAGGCTGCTCTGCAAACTCCAGCTTATTCTAGTCTCCCATAAGCCCCCTTGCCTGCCATGCAGTGCTCTCATTGGTCTAGAACTTATTTGCATGCTCAGATCTCATTGGCTTACATGCTGTTGCTAAACTAATTTTTAAAAAAATGTTGCTAAGGAGAATTCAAAAAAGCTGGCAGACAATGAAGAAAAGAGGAAGTAATTCCCAGAAGGTTGGAGGATGGATTTAGATCTGTTTCCTAAACAGAGAAGATGAATAAAATTGAGTAAACTTTTCAGACAGATAGGACCCTCCCTCTTGTGGGAGCTGTGTCTCCAAGCAAAAAGCAGAGCTAGAAGGGAAGGGAAAAAGCAGTTGCTGATTGTTGTAAAAGAGAACTCCAGTGGCCTCTTCAACTTCCCTGATCTGATCACTGTAACCCGGGCCCCGTTACAGGAGCTAGCGAGACACAAATGTACACAACAGTGAGCTTGGGCATATGTCTGTGTTCAAGGAAAAACTCACAATGCTCCCAGTGTATGCTTAACTAGTCTGTACACGAGTCCTTGCGGCTTGAACTGATCCTTCAAGCCACTCTTTCCTTATTTGTGGAGCAGGAGTAAAGAGACGGGGAAGGAGTGTGATCAGTGGGAGAACCTTACAGGGCTGCCTGCAGAGGACAGGGCTGCAGCGTTCAGAGCCTCATCTTGTCTCACGGGCCTCACGCGCATGCGTATTGTTTATTTATTGGTGTGTGTGTGTGTGGGGGACACCTGCCAGGGCATGCATGTGGAGGTCTGAGGACAATGTGTAGGGTGGAAGGGTCTCTTTCCATTGAACGAGTTCCAGGGATCGAACTCTGGTCATCAGGCTTGGCCACAAGTACATTTATCCAATGAGCTATCCCCCTCCTACCTCCCGCTTTGGTAAACATTACAAAACAAAACAAAAAACCCTGCTTTGTGGAGTCTGAATTCAAACACAAATCATTTGCAGAAGTAGTTCTCAGACGGATGTTTGGAGAAGAATACATTTTTTCTTGCTCCCTAACAACTAATACTTGAAGAGTGCAATTAAAAATTTGAATGTTTTCACACACAGAATTTCACCTTACTGCATGGCTAACCCGATGAGAACATGCATATTATTATCAATCCATTTTATAAACAAGCAATTTGAGACTCCAAAAGGTCAAATAATTTGCTTAAGTTCCTCAAACTAAAAAAATGAGAGGAACCTCAATTCAGGCCACAGGTAACTAAGCACCCATTCATAAGCCCCTGGCATCCCTCTGAGTGACCTACTACAGCCGATGCTACTTACGCACTATCTACGTTCTTAATTCCCATGTCATATTATCCCTGTTTTACAGGCGAGGAAGCTGACAGTAACAAAAAGTGTTAGAGTTGGATGTTCCGCCAAAGGCAAATGACTCCCCTATGTTTGGTTTATTCTTACATCCATATGCGTTAAGGTTAGGGAAATTATAATGGGAATATGGGTGGTATAATAGCAAGTGTAAGGAGGAAATGCTGAGTGCCTTAGGCGTTTAGATCCCATATGCAACTCACACCCAACCCTCTTCTTTATTTGCTGTAAGATATTCTCTTGCATCCTCTTTCCTCAGGTGCGAACACAAAATATTGAAGGTCGGAATTGTCTTGAGAATTAACTGAGTCACGCCATGTGCTGTGTAACAGGAAGTGGCTATTATTACAGGGGGTGATTTATTTTCAGTCCCCGCCCTCCCCACCAAATGCTGTCACAGTCACCTTGGACTGTCACATGCCCATTCTTCCCTGTCTCAATGACAGTGGAAAGGTACCACCAGAGCGGAAATGACAGGATGCAAAATGCAAAGGGCCCAGCAACCCCTGGAGAGCCTTTCATAGAGCACAGAGATGGAGGAGCCTCTGGTTATACAAGCGTTCTCTTTGCAGGTGATATATCTGTCAATAGGTGGCAATCTCTCTCTGTCTCACACAGCCCTGAGCCGCAATGCAGAAGAGCCTTCCTGGCTGCTGCAGCTCTGCCCAGCTTTGTCCTTTCAGTGAGACATGCAGGAGTGAGGGATTGGAGGGTAGACACCCCCAGGGATACAGGCAGAAGGATCTGCCAGTCTGGGAAGGCTGTCTAATCTGTGGTGTTCAAAGCCATTCCTCACCTCCTCACTCACAGTGAGTATGCTTGATTGCAGAAGTCAAGGTCAACAATGAAGGACACTTCCTTTAGAGAAGCATTTCTTTGTGCCATTCAAAGCGGTCCATTAAACCCTAGCACATTTGGGAACCAAAGTATTGGAGCCATTCCTAAGGCTTCTGAAAAGTTCCTTTCAGAGTTATATGTGGGCTTCTGTGGAGTGGCTGGTTCTAGCCAGAAAGTCTAAGGCAGAAACCTAGTCAGGGGTTGCAAAGGCCTGAGGCCACCGGCTGACATCCTGACTCTAACTCAGCACCTCGACAGACATCTGTCCTCACCATTTCTGTTCAGGTGTTGGCATTTTCAGCTGCATGTAACAAATGCAGGGGCATCTGGGATTCAGAAAACTCCATGGGAGCACTGGTGACAGGCAAGTCAGGAAAGGGACACAGGTTGACCTGGTCCATGAGTCTCAAGTAAGGCCAAGAGAGGGTACTACAGGCAGAAGGGCCAGCTGCAAGGCCTGGCACAGGGATAACAAGCAATTCTTTCAAATGAAGTAGGACTGTTTACGCTGTCATCAGACGTGATTTTTGGGAAAGATAACCACATTGGCCTGTGCATGGTCTCCATACAAGGTCTCAGGTATGTCCATTCTTAGAAAAGTGTAAGCAGACACATAGATCTGAATGTATGCATGATGGACGAAGTATTAATAGAGGTTATGTTCTTGAAGCACGAACACTTAGATGTAGCTTTAAAAGTCAACAAAACACTTGTATGGTGGCACATGGGAGACTGAGGCATGGAGATGTCGAGTTTGAGGCTGTTGTGGGCTACACAACAAGATTACTGTCTAGAACAACAACAAACAAACACCAAACTACAAAGCAAACAAAAAACCCCAAGTAACAACAATTTTAATAAATAAATAAATAATAAATACTCAGCAAAATATCTGCTGCTGATTTAGTTAGGGTTACTATTGCTGTGATGTAACACCATGACCAAATGCAACTTGGAGAGGGAAGGGTTCATTTGACTTCCTCTTCTCTGTTCATCATCAAAGGTCAGGACAGGAACTCAATGGGGCAGGAACCTGAAGGCAAGAACTGAGGCAGAGGCCATGGAGGAGCGCTGCTTACTGGCTTGCTCAGCCTGCTTGCTTATAGAACACAGAATCACCAGCCCAGGGATGGCACCACCCACAGTGGGCTGGGCCCTCCCCCATCAATCACTAATTAAGAAAATGTCCTACAGATTTGCTTACAGCCTGATCTTCTGGAGGCATTTTCTCAAATGAGGTTTCTTCCTCTCCAGCTTGTGTCAAGTTGACATAAACTAGCACAGCCTCCAAATGGAAAAGCGTTAGGAAGATGTAGCTAGACCCTTTCACCTTTGACTTGTCTCCGTGTTGTCTTCTGAATGTGCATGGTAAGCTAAACTTTGAAGAGTTAGTCTCATGGCCAATTTCACACTACAAATTCTTCTTGGCAAATGAATGCCTTTTATTAGTTGAAAATTTTCAGCTCTCACATG